TCAGCCTATTTCATATATTCCTTTAAACAGGAATAAAAAAGAGACCAAGCAGAACACAAAAGGTCAATCATAAATATGATCAGCAATGCAGTTTACTGTATTTTCTAACATTTATCAAAACATTAAGCAAAAGTAAATCTTTATGATGTAATTCAAAATAAAGCTACTCTAATGATATCTTTACTTGTCCCAGGCATTGACAAATCCTTACAACATTAACTCAGTGAAGTTGCAAGTGAGGGTAATGTTTGTCAGATTATTATATAAAATAATACATATACAATATAAAAGTTAAGTTTACTAAGTTTTAATAAACAATTTAACAATTTGTTTATGAAAACTATAACATCCACACTTGTATTTTTATAAGGGAAAAAATACTTACTACCACTTCAAAAATGAATTCACACTGATTAATGTGTTGTAAGATCATATTTTTTTTCTAAAGCAGGAATTTACATTTAGCTTGCACAAGATTGTATATAAAAAAAATCCTTGAATACAGCATAGGGCAACCAAATACTCTTTAAAGTATCTAATATGAACAATGTTTACTTTGGTACATCAGCTATACCTGTTCTTGCAATGTTTTAATAAAGACTAATGCTAAACAAGTTTTAATATTTTTCATGTCAAAAGATATCAGAAGAACAGCATTTCTGTGTTTTAGTAACTCATGTAATTCAGGTGATTATTATCTACTTCATTTAAAAGGAGATTCTAGAAATGTGTTTGCATTTGTGTTTGTGTGCTTGTATGTGTACATATACTGTGTGTATGTGTGAGGTTGTTTGAGATATTGAAACCAAGACCTTTACACTAAGTTGGTACCTACAATTGTTTCCAATATTTCCAGAAAATGAGTACCCTCATTTTTTTCTTTGGAGCAGAAAACGAAACAATAAATAAATATCAACCAACTGTTGGATTATGGCAGAATCACCTGGAGAGTGAATGTACTGATACTAATCCTGAGATAAACCCCTAAACTCATTGATGAAGTTGCATGATGATGCCAATTTCTGTGGACAGAGCAACAATATGTCCTATTAAAATATTTCTTAAATTTCATACCCTGCTTCAGCCTAGTAGTTTCTCTACAACTTAATTCTTAATGGCCTGCCAACTCCATGTTAATCCAAGATCTTTATAACATTTCAGACTGGTTGTTATGATAGATATCTTAGTCAACTTTTATTTCTTACAAACTGCATAAAATTCAAGGATACACCCATTATTATCTAAATATACAATCCCCTACTTTATTTAGGCATCATGCAAGCCTCTACTACCCTAGTATATCTCAAATTTAGGTACTACTTGAGAAAGGACACGTTTTCTTTTTCTTTTCTCTTTTTATTTTGCCTCAGCTACATTCACCCTAAGAGATATCTGTCACAGTCCTCACTGACTCTACTGGCCCTTTCCTATCACAAGCATAAATCATAGCCAGGCTGCAAAAATCTATGAGGTGCAATGCAAGGATTTAAACCTGGTTCTTTGCACTTTACAGGTATTATGTTAATTTACGTCCCATGACTGCATTCCATGCATTTCCCCTGAAACGCCCTTTCTCTGGCATCAATATTTGTGGCTGTTATAATAAGAAGCAATCTAACTTTACGAAACAATACTTACTCAAAATAAAACAAAGCAATAAAAATAGCTATATTACTAACTTTGTAATGCAACTGCTTCAACTTGTAAATGCTACAACACATACTCTCTCAACACAGTTCATAAAAATATCTTCTTACACCAGTGTGCACTGGCTTTTCTTTTCTTTTCTTTTTTTACCACTGACCATACTACAGAAGCACTATTTTCTCTAATAAAACCACTTTACATGTAACACTGTTGAATATGATCTATTTTGAAATTTTCAGGCAGAAAGAAACCTACCTTACAAAATAAGTTTAAGAAATAAAAATACAAAATAGTGCAATTTTAAAACACCAAAAAGATGTTTAAAACTAAAATGAAGAGTTTTATGTATCCTTCTTTCACCTGCTCTTCTAAAATAATAATTCTAGAGAAAGAAAGAAAGGAGAGAGAAGATTGGTGGGCTAAATGGAGAGAGAAGCAAGGAAGGAGAGGGAGATACGAAAACTGGATTGAAACCTCCTGGCGTTTTAGTATTTGGTGTTCATAGCGGGACTCTGTGGTGAAGTTAGCTCCTTCTAATATCATTTATCTAAAAACAAGAGTTCATTTTAGGTGTTAAGCTGCCTTTCCAATCATCATGATTTTTTTTTTGTCTTCCATATACATTTCTTACTTGATTTTTTTTCTTGATGACAACTCTTGAACCTAAAATAAGTGTATGTATAGATATATATACATATATATATACACATACATATGTATATATACAAATATATACATGTATATAATATATACGCATATACATATATATACATGTATATAATAAATACACATATTGATGCACAGGTATATTTATACATACATATACACATGTATATATATATATACAATATACAAATATGTATACATATACAATTGTATACATAAACATATTCATATACATATATGTATACATATACCTATACCTATATATACATTAAATGTATACCTATATATCTACATACATACATAACATTATATGTATATGTGTATATATATATATATATATATATATATATATATATATATATATATATATATATAGTATATATAATATATATATATATATATATCTATATATATATATATATATATATATATATATATATATATATATATATATATATATATATATATATATATATATATATATATATATATATATATATATATATATATATATATATATATATATATATATATATATATATATATATATATATATATATATATATATATATATATATATATATATATATATATATATATATATATATATATATATATATATATATATATATATATATATATATATATATATATATATATATATATATATATATATATATATATATATATATATATATATATATATATATATATATATATATATATATATATATATATATATATATATATATATATATATATATATATATATATATATATATATATATATATATATATATATATATATATATATATATATATATATATATATATATATATATATATATATATATATATATATATATATATATATATATATATATATATATATATATATATATATATATATATATATATATATATATATATATATATATATATATATATATATATATATATATATATATATATATATATATATATATATATATATATATATATATATATATATATATATATATATATATATATATATATATATATATATATATATATATATATATATATATATATATATATATATATATATATATATATATATATATATATATATATATATATATATATATATATATATATATATATATATATATATATATATATATATATATATATATATATATATATATATATATATATATATATATATATATATATATATATATATATATATATATATATATATATATATATATATATATATATATATATATATATATATATATATATATATATATATATATATATATATATATATATATATATATATATATATATATATATATATATATATATATATATATATATATATATATATATATATATATATATATATATATATATATATATATATATATATATATATATATATATATATATATATATATATATATATATATATATATATATATATATATATATATATATATATATATATATATATATATATATATATATATATATATATATATATATATATATATATATATATATATATATATATATATATATATATATATATATATATATATATATATATATATATATATATATATATATATATATATATATATATATATATATATATATATATATATATATATATATATATATATATATATATATATATATATATATATATATATATATATATATATATATATATATATATATATATATATATATATATATATATATATATATATATATATATATATATATATATATATATATATATATATATATATATATATATATATATATATATATATATATATATATATATATATATATATATATATATATATATATATATATATATATATATATATATATATATATATATATATATATATATATATATATATATATATATATATATATATATATATATATATATATATATATATATATATATATATATATATATATATATATATATATATATATATATATATATATATATATATATATATATATATATATATATATATATATATATATATATATATATATATATATATATATATATATATATATATATATATATATATATATGTTTGTTTATGTTAAGGTTTTAAATTGCTATTGTGATTCTAATTAAAATCATAAAATTCAAACAACTTAAATGCATAACAACCAACTACCAAGTTTAATATATATACTTACTAGCTGGTATTTAGTGTATCATCAGAAGGCACATGATAATGCCAAAATAAGCAGTGACACTGAAGTATGAAACTGAAGGATCAAAACAAAATACAATTTGAAATTTAAAAAAAAGGACCTATATTTTGCATTAAGGGGGGGGGGGGGGGAAGCTAGAGGAATATTTGTTGAAATGTGTTCTGCAAGTTTCTCCAGTAATTAATCACAATAACACGCAAAAACGTACAAGAAATACGAAGTACATTTATATCAACAAATGGTAAAAATATAATAAAAAAGGATAGCAAACACAAGCAATTAGAAGGGATAACGACAAACACACATCACTTTCTTTCGTATCAAAGAACTCTGTATTGAAACAAACGACGTACGCCACAGAAATAATATGAGGAAGCTAGGAATTACAAGAAACTAGCAAACAAAAAAACAGTGTGAAAGGGAAAAACCAAAACATCACAATAGCAAAATTATCTTTATCCATCGTAGATGATTGACCTCTGCTGGTCAACTTGATCTTTTAACAAAATGAATATACATTCTTGTTTACGGAATGAACATTCCAACAAAATACCATTCATACACATAACTGAATTACTCCAATATATTTACATAAAACACATGAACATGACTGTCTGAAGAAAGAAAATAAAAGGCATACGAATGTCAGCTTGCCACAGGACATCAACATATCAATGCATAAATATCACTTACTTCATGCTAACTGTAACTTAAAGAGTTCCATTTGCTACCAAGTGCAAAAAATGTCAGAAACCATAAGGGTAATAATACACCTAAATTCTAATATACATAAAATAGTGAGCATCTTGGGAATACTGTACACAAATGTATACGAGTGAACATTCTCTACCTGACCATTTCCTCTCTGTAATATTCATTCCCGTACCAGGATTCCAGCTTCAAAATAGGAGTTTACCTATTCTTTTTGTTTCTTTTGAAGTTCCAACCTAAAATAATCTTTTATAAGGTATGCATTACGTACATAGTACTGGCTCAGAGTTTTTGAGCTAACACGTCACTGGTTATACCATCAAAAAGGATAAGGCCACCTACCATGGTAAACAATCTATTCTAAGTCAAACCAAAAAATAATTTAAAAATAAAAGTGAAAAAAACATTTTAAAGTATATCTTTCAATATGATGAGGCCTTAGCATGAATTTCATGACTATACTTTTGCCCCAATTATAGAAAAAACAATGCAATTCATCATCAGTGAGTGCAAATTTCACACTGAAAATCAAACTTATAAGGTAACCATTCACACAGCATGCATACTGTGGTGAGGCTTTTCTCAGATGATATGCAGGAAAAGGAGAAAATTAAGAAAATGAACAACAGAGAATTAGTGAAAGAGAAAGAGAAAGAAATTATAACTCATGACTGTATATTTTTTTTTTTCTTATGCTTTCCTGGGATGTAATTATTTCTATATCCATCACTGATGCTACACCAGCATTTTTTTCACCTCTGACATACTATTGTTCAAGAAAAGTTAGCGAGAGGAACAGTTATCAAAAGGGTGTTCATGAATCTACACAAATTTACAAACAGTGATTAATACTACTAAAATAAATTGGTGAAAACAACCATGGTGAGCAGAAATGATAGAATAAAAGAAGATGTCTGAATCCATTTCCAGTTTGAACACAATGAACATGAAACATGATTGCCTTTATATTGCACCACCTTGCATTTATGTATTGCAACAACACACATGCTAATTCCTCAAAACATATCCCTCACTTACACTACACCCTTTTTTTTTTCTTTTTTTTTTATTACAGTCAAAAAGCCAGTGCTTTGTAGTTTATATACGCATCATATCTCTCTAACATAAAATCAAGAAATTCTTGATAATAATGTATTTTAAAATTATGATGCATCTCATCTGGACATTTTTTTCAATTTATGAAAAATAAATCTACTCTTATCCATGGACATATTTTAAAAAAATGCATATATATTGAAAATGATTAGAAAAACAAATGAAAAAAAGAAAAAGAAGAAAAAAAAAACTTTTACTCTTACCAAAACTCAAGGTATAAAGAAACAAATGACCAACACTCACAACCACATACACAGCATGGCAGAGATTAGCTGGATCCATCACAATCAAATATGCATAAAACCTAATTCTGTTGCAGCCTGCGAATGCATTAGGTAACTGTGTGGAAAAAGGAAACATTTCCTGCTTTGTTTCTGATGTCTCTTGTTTTCTTCTATTATTAAATACATCATATCAATCCAATACAATATCTTTGCCCTCAAAGGACAGTTCACATTGCAATCTAACTATCTCATGATGGGTAATATAAGGTAGAAGTACTGACATAATGTACTATTCTTTCCTAGGTCTTACCATTAATTACACATCACCTCAGTTTGTTACTAATAATATATATAAATTCAGGAAGCCTTTTTCGTGTTTCAAAAAAAGGAACAAATCACTTCCCATCATTATTCCTTCTAGTAATCACTAGCCTAAAAAGTGTACAAATTGTAGTTAAGAGAAAAAAAAAAAATAATAATAATAATAATAATAATAAAAATAATGCAGTAAGTATAATTTCAGCAGTGTTCAACTTGCCTAGAATGATTGTCCAAAATGAACAAGCAATTCTAAACCGTTATCTTGATGTATATATAGAAATCATTCTCACCTGAAACTAATATTATACATATAACACAAATTTGTAACACATACAAGATTACTTCCTACTTCAGCACAATTTTTCTGTATCACTAAAATTCATCATCTACTCTGTCATCATCAAAAACATCACTTTACCATACATGGACATTGATAATGATAGAATAGCAGCTAATCAATAAAAATACTATCAATAAACAGTGGAATGATGCTGATGACAGAAAAGGCAACAATGATGATATATATGACAGTGATGTGGATATAAATACCATAATAATGATGATGATGATGATGATGATAGTAGTAAATTCAATAGAAAGAAAAGAAAAAAAATATACATATATAGAAAAATGTAACATCTTTAATATGAATGGTGGCTGTATTTTTATTCTAAACCAAAAAGTAATATTCACATATCAATATTCACCCTTTCAAAATATCTGCAATTTTACAATGACTTAAGGCATAGAAAGAAGTGATTTAGCAATTAAATAGAACTCACTGTTCTGTGTGTTTTATCTCCATAATTATCTTTAACTTATCATTAACACAAGTCCAGATTTCCTTTGAAATTAGTCCAAATTCAGCTTTCTACCATAAATAGTAAGTCTGCTACAAGCAACTGAAACAAATTATCACAATGCCTCGGCAGGGGAGACAACACACACCACAGATGACTTCAATTGCAAGTCTTAATGTGAAAAGAATTAACAGCAATGTATGAAAAGCTTAATTTCCACCAATATAAAAAAGCACAGCCTCAGTGTAAAGAAAAATAATAAACAAATAAGCAAAGAATTAAGTAAATACATGTAAAACGCATGGCAGTGTCGTACAAAATAAACATTAAAAATAACATGGCTTGTAATAATAGAGATCATGACAAAAGTGGATGATGATGCTTCAAGTAATAATATTTCTACAATAAGGATAATTACTGCTAATTAATAATAATGCTGCTACTGCTTCTACTGATGATGAAGATAGTTAATAAATGATACAAATACTATTAGTTCTACAACTAACAAAAAATCATAAATAAAATAACCAATAACAATAATAATAACAGTCATAATGATCATAATCATAATAATGATAATAATAATAATGACCTAATATTAAAACACTATTCAAAATTAATAATAAAAATAAAAATAATAATGATTACAATGAACAATACTACTACTAATAATAATATTCATCATCATAATAAAAAAATAATAGTGATAGTATTAGCAATAGTAGCTATAGTGGCAGTAGTAGTAGTATTTTTTTTTAATAATTGAAAAAGAAAAAAAAAATAATAATAAACTAATAATAACAATAGCAATAACAGTAATGCTAATAACAAGAACAATAATAACAATAATTAAAAAATTAAAAATAAAAATTACAGAAATAACTTTCATCATCATTATTACAATAGCAGTGATCATAATGATCATTACCTCGAAAAAAACTCAAAATTAGCATTAATACCCAATATCACTTTGAAGTTGTTTGACACCAAGCATATTTGAATCCTTCATAACTTCACAGTGTAAATGAGGTGCAGAAAATGATGTCAGTGGAAGATAATATAACCATAACCACATATCAAATATGAATACAATGTTATACTCCTCTCCCCTACCCAATCATAGATATTGCAATGATCCATAGTCCTTTTCTCACCATAAAACCCACCAATCACTCAAAATTCACATATACAGCCTCATCTGTAGTCTTGCAGCTTTCTGCAACACTTATGTACAATACCTGTGACCAAGTGAACCAACCCCTCTGCTGGTCTAGAGATCAACATACATTGCTCACCTGCATTGTCACCAAGTATATACTTAAAACTTTGGTATGGAAACTATTTCTGCCTTACCCCTTGAACAGGGGACAAATAGTTTATATAGGATTTTGTCACACTCCTACCATAGTACGCTATGCAAAACTACAACCATTCTGCACCCTGGTAACAATATCTTTGTAAGCTTGCTGTAGGATAGGTTACTCACGTCTTCCCATTAGTTTCTTTCTGAAGATAACTGTAAAAGGAAAAAGTTTCGTTTACACGTTTTTCCTACCACAATTTGAAGTAAAAAAAAAATAGATAATGCTCAAATAAATTTTGTTAGGGATACTACTATCTTTTAAATCATGCAAACTGTATCACTGACTATCTTCCATTAGCAGCGCAAACGTCAGTTTAAAAAAAAGCAAGGATCAAGGATTCTCACCTACTAATCCTATTGGCTGGAGCAGTGAGATTTCCCCCAAGTCTTCCTTTCTTGCTAGCAGGTCCCGTTGATGATGCAGATGGGGCACTTGGTGTCGGCAACACACTGCTAAGTGTTGTGCTGTCCTCCTCATCCTCCAAATCATCTTCAATATCATAACCACTGCGTCCTCGCTTTCGGTTATTTGTTACATTATTTGTATCCTCCATCATACTACTGTCATCCTAGATAAGAAAAATATGAATACATCAGTTTATAGTCTTCTATCAGTATAAAAAAAAGAAACGAAAAAAAGAAAGAAAGAAAAAACTACAATCACTTGTTTCTATTCCATTTACTCCATCTTTCAACAAATTACTTAATAAAAAGCTTCCTGCCTTTCCCCCCCCCCACCTTGACTTGAATCTCTTCTATCCCTTCTCTTCTTCTGTAATTCATCTATTTCCTCATACCCTCCCCCCTGTTTTCATTTTTTCATTTCTTTTCTTTCCTTCCTGCAGTCTTTTTTTCACCTCTTCCTGCTACTTCCCTCTTCCTGTCATGGATTGTTTTATCCCTTCAGTCATGGATGGCATGTCACACAATGGCTGTTGTGGATTGAGTTACTACAGCATGGCATATCCCCTACTGTTGGCTCATTGGATGGAGTTTGACTTTCTCCACGAGAAGTGATATCGTTTGGTGTCACTATTAGACACAGGCACTTAAATTGAAGGAAAACCTGAACTTTTTTTTTTTTTCTTAGTGAAATACAAGCATAAGCTATTAAGTACCTAATGTGTGTAGTACTTAGAAATGTTATGCATGAAATAGAAATACACACAAAGCAAACCTTTTCATTCTCTTGAAGAGCTGGCTTGCAGCCCTTTGCCACTACTTCTGCAGCTCAATGCTACTACCTTTGTACAAGTGTTGCAAGAAATCACTAGGTCTTGCCGGTATTCAATCCTTTTACATTAATTTATTGCATTTATTTCTCCTTTTCTTTTCTTTTCTTTTTCTAAACAGGTACTACAACAGTTGACACAACTAGCCAATACAAGTAGGGTGGTGAGGATATAACCATTACATGTACCTCCAAATTATATAAAACCTCAAGTTAAGCTTCGATATATCATTGCTAAGTGTTTTCACTACACAGGTTTGTTTTTCTTATTTACTTTAAATTTTGAAATACAATCCCCACACTCAATGACCCCCTTATATGTTACAGATGTTTTTACCTTGACCTCCTTATGGACAGGTAGGTCTATGCTGCTGGATGTTGTTGTGTCCTTTGTAGCATGAAAGATAAAACAAGAAAACATACCAGACGTCACCATCTTACTCAAGACTCATACATCACCATCTTACTCAAAAGATTATCTCTTAAGTCCTTCTCAAACTAAACTTTCAAAACCAATGACAACATCTAAAAGCAGATATATGTCTAAGGCTATACCAGAGGTGGGGTTTAAAAAGTTTTAAAAACCAATGACCTAAAATAGATAGTCCAACCAGAATATCTAAACCACATTTCCTTTAAGTATAAATCTAACTAAAGCAGGAATATTCATAGATTGAGGAGAACATCTAAAACTGACATACTAAAGAGCATCACATGTTCAAACTTACCTTGCTTCTGTCTTGTGGACTATGCATTTGAGTGTTTGGTTTCAAAACCACCATGGAGTTGGACACCTTTTTGGTCACTCCTGTCAGTACTTTAGTGGAGCCTTTGGGTGCTGTCACCTGGAGCTCCAGCGGAAGGTACGATTTGACTAAAAAAAAAGAGAAAAGTTTAAACAAATTATAATATAGTTCCATCCAGAAATCATTCATTTCTGTAGTATTTTTTTCAACCAGACAACAGAATGCACATAGGAAAAAATAAATATATCTTAAATGTCACAAAAAATACATCTATGCAGTCAGAATTTCACTTCACAGACCAAAAGAATTAAGCCAAAACTGGTTAATAAAATCCTCACTCCTTGAAATGGAGACCTGACCCTCACAAAATAGCTTGTTACTCACCATTTACAAAGTTAGGATCCTCGTGCTTCTTGAAATACATTGGAGGTATTCGGGGATCTGATGGGAATTCCTTCATCTCAAAGCTAGTAGTTTTAGATAAAATAAGACCCATTGCTAAATCACATACAGCCCATAGTTTCTGAAATGATAAAAATTAGTTAATCTCAAGTTTTATAACTCTGATTTCAACCATGCTTTTTTGCTATTCATATCTATATCAACATTGACTTCAAATGACTCATTCCAAGAATTTCTCATACATACATACATACATACATATATATACAAATATATATATGTATGTATGTATGTGTGTCTATCACAAATATAGACATATATATGTCTATTTGGAAGACAAATATGTCTACCAAACAAAATGTCAAAACCCTCTGCATCACTATCATACCTGATTAGTTAGCTCATCTTCTGGTTTAACAGCATCTTTGTGGTTCTTCATTTGCTCAATCAATGCCTTGTAGAATCCAAAGCAGTAGGCATCATTCTTGGTCATTAGAGGTTCCAAGATAAACCACAAACAGGACTGAATCCGTTTCAGCTGTGCCTTATCACTAGGATCTGTAAATTCTGGGTGATGTGCCAACAAAGGTACTGCGAATACTAGCATGTAATCAGGCATAATGTGTGGTAGCTGACTTGATGCCTTTTCACCTGTAAATAAGCAAATCGCAAAATAAAATCTATCCAAACTTTTAATATATGCAATGTGACTTTTTAAACAATATTTTGTCAACGTCTTTAGAAGTCCTGATGGAGGGAGAGGAAAAAAATATGTGAGAAGAAATGCCTGAAATACTTACTTCCCCCGGACATGGTGATGGATCTGATATATTCTCTCCTCTTATTGATATCAGCAATCATGTACTGTCTTACAGCAACACGCAACTGTCTGTCAGACTCAAGACCAGCAAGGGCATAAAATCCCATAAAGTCAAGAGGCAGGCACTTATGTGGAATTCCTCTTGCTAAACCTTTGTGAAGCTTGATAGCAAACCTTTCTCTGACTTGTGGACACTCATCCTAAAAGCAGATTTCATGTATCAGTAATATTACACGTGAAAAGTTCATTTCAAGAAAATGCGCATTTTTGTTTCAGAAAAAAATTATGGCTTATAATAATCCAAACATTTTGTATGTTATTAAGAATTTTCTATACATACATTTTCAAGGTAATGTTTAAATGATTCACCAAATTTAATTTAAATTTTTATCACAAAAAACTTGTACTTCATTACACTCATGCTTTAATATGAGAATGGAAACTAACACCAATTCATTGCATTTAGTATTCAGTGAAAACAGTCGTAACAGGTACAAGTGGAGGCAACTGTACATACCCTCTCAGCAACAATGGGTTAATGAGCACTTCTAGCTAAAGAGATGTGTGTATATGTACTATAACTAGAACATTATCCTTAATCATCAAATAACCATATTCGCAACGGATCAGAACAATTCTTGCTTACATTCATAAGAAGAGAGAGATTGTAAAACTGCTCCGAGGTAAACTGGTCACCAACTCCTTTCTGTTCACAAATTTTAAGCATTGCAGCACCAGAGGACAGTCTTAAATGGGCCATTTCAGATTTCCTGGAAGACACAAAAAGTTAAAAGACACTTGAAGACTTTATTTATAATCTCCATAATTCGTACCAGTTAAGATAAACCTATACTTTTGTACATAACAGTTCTTATGCCAAGACAAAGGAAATGTATGTTTCCCTGCCATCAGGTTCATAATAACAGTTTTAATATATGAACTTTAAAAGACTTTTGTTAACTATGGTAAGAAGAGTTACAGTCATGATTTGTTTAGTAAAAAATAATAAATTAGGTACTTACACTGACTGGAATAAAGAAATCAAAATGGATTGGCATTGTCTGTGATATCCTTGGTACATTCTAAGCATCACAAATAAACCTGACCTTTTTTTACTATGCCACTAAATTGCATTACATAACAGGTTAAAGTTCTTCTGAAATATACTCACTGTTAACTGCCATGGAATTTGTACATAGAATTTTCAATGAAGTCGATAAATTTGGCGTGTGCATTCACAGCATCTAAATCTCATCCCAAACACCAAAAAGAAAATGTGCACTCACTCATTCACTAACAACACTAAAAATCTTATAACTTACAACATCTTTCCAGTCTCAAGAAGGTCACCCTTGTGAAGAATAAAGGCATTTAGCATACGGAAGGTCTTTTGGGCAGAGATAACATCCGATTTGAGACCTAGCAACCACCGTGCCATCATTTTAATGCCCTCCATTTTGACTGATGATTCCTCTGTGAGTTCATCTTCCTCTACCCATTCTTCTGGTTCCTCCGAGGTGACTGGGCCAGGAGTGTGTGCAGGGGTTTGGTTGCGCATTAATAACTCTTTAACAATCTGAAAGAAATGACAGAGTCAACTAACAACTAACTTCCGATGAGAAGGGCAAGGTGATGGTTGGCAGGGAGGGGAAGGGAGGGGAAAGAAGGGAAGGGGAGAGAAGAGAAGGGAAAAAAAGAGAAGGGGAGAGAAGAGAAGGGGAAAAAAGAGAAGGGGAGAGAAGAGAAGGGGAAAAAAGAGAGGGGGAGAGAGGAGAAAAGGGAAAAAGAGAGAAGAGAAGGGGGGAAAAGGGCAAAGAAACGAAGGGGAAAGGGGAGAGAAGGGAAGGGGGGAAAAAAAAAAGTTGTGTATATCATTTCCATAAATATCCATTTTTTTAATATATTCAGAATACAAAACTAACCAAAACATAAGTTAACAAGAAAAAGAAACTTACCTTTCTTGATACTATATTTTTAATAGGGATTAGGAATCTATCTGGCATATTGAATGCTATGTGACCTAGCGACACAACTGACGTTCTGAAGTGTGGAGAATCAAACGTTAACTGCTCCTTTATTTTCTGGAAAAAAACAAAACAAAAACATATATTATCCATCATTCCAACGTTTCTTCACAATCATAAAAAAAAGGAACAAGTTACTTGCCACAAGAGTTTTTCCCAAAAGTTTTGTTTACATACCTCTAATATCTTCTCAAACACTTCATCTGCATCTGAGGTGCAATTTGTGTGAAGGCAACGTACAGCATGCTTGGCTTGTTTTGGAGTGCCTGAGCAGGCAAACTGTTGACATACTGGAATAAGTACTGATGCTAACTCTGGGTACAGCTCACCTGAAAGAGATGGAAGTTATTCTTTTAGTTACATTATCAACCAACTGAAATTAAATCCCACCAAAGCTACTGCAAGAAAGAAACGGAATTAGACCATAAGCAGTACAAATACCACACACATTATCAATAGAGCAAATACATAACACACACACACACACACACACACACACACACACACATATAAATATAAATATATATATATATATATATATATATATATATATATATATATATATATATATATATATATATATATATATATATATATATATATATAAAATTATATATACATATAGGCATTTTCAATTAACATAACAGTGAGCAATTATCATCAAATGTAAGTGTCAAAGGCAAAAGAAAAAAGAAAACACAACTTCTTTAATATTCTCTATTATTTACTAAAAATACTGCTAGAATAACAGTTAATTCAGTATCTATCAACTTCAATAGTTATATTCAGGGATAGTAAGTGGAAATGACAAAAGAGGATTGGAATCTCCATTATCCAAGTCTGGTTTTCTTGTGAAAAGGGTAGTATAAGTCTCACTTACCTATTGGTTTATATTTGCCAATACATGTTAGAACTGCTAGAACTGGTGGGGAGATGGATGTGTTTGGCACATTGAGGAGAGAAATAAGACGTGTCAAGATGTCCTGATGCAGGAAGTGTGAAGGATACACAAACGACAAAACCTGAAAGATTTTTCAAACAGATAATCAATCTGTTCTTCTCCAAAAACACATATTAAAACAAGACTTTTGATAACAAATCATGCATATGGTTATCTGCTACTATCTCATACACATACATACAAAAAAACAAAAACAGTTACTTACAAATAATAACTTCAATCCTTTCTCTGTTGCAATATCAGATGTGAGGTTGAGTGTATCCAAAATTGTTGGATCCCCATTCAGTGCACCTTCTACCATGCTAACTAAAGCCTCAAGTGCTACCCTGTCTACCATCACGCTTGAAACACGTTCTAGCAACATCTTGATGGTGTTGTAGTACAAGTTGGTCATTACTGGCTGTCCTAGTTTCTTTAGTATTTGGGTCTGAAACGAAGAGACAGAAGATAAGTCTTCTTTTCACTTCCGAACAAAACTTTCGAAGTATGCAATACATGTTTCTTATCAAGTTAGTTTTTTTGAAGAAAAATAAATAAATAAATAAAAAACAATATTCAAAAAACAATCACCTATATCAGTGATCATTTAAATATCCATATATAACACTTATAGGAAAACCATGGTAGTTTCTCAACTTACAACAGCGTCAACACTATCTTTGCAGGATACATCATGGCTCACAACAGTTTCCATCAGTGACAACAACTGAGAATCAGTATTGAGGTGTTGTGAGAACTTTCTAAGAAACTCTTGCACCTTCAGTGGATCAGGGAGGAACTTGGTGAGGTGTCCCAAACGGTATGCTATTTCGCGATCCCTCTCTTCATCCTGGGGTTTCCGATGAAGCTCAATAAGCTCTGCAACATTCTTCCTTACAGCTAACTGATGTTTCTGGAGTTCTATAAAGGCCTTGGAAGCATTGTCATCAATGGTAGCATAAAGATAGAAAAGTTTCTTCATTCGGTCTTCTGGAGGCAGTTGATATGGTACCAAGCAAGTGTTCAGGAGACGTTCTACTAGTAATCTGGAAGAAAACATTAAAGATATGTTTGAAGGCATGTCAAGAAAATAATCAAGCACAAGGACAAGGAGGAAGAAAAAAAGGAAGAAGAGGAGGAGGAGAAGGAGGAGGAAAAAGAGGAAGAAGAGGAGGAGGAAGAGGAAAAAGAGGAAGAGGAGGAGGAGGAGGAAGAAATAGAGGAGGAAAAAGAGGAAGATGAGGATTAGGATTAGGAGGAGGAGGAGAAGGAAAAGGAGGAAAACAAAGAGGAGGAGGAAGAGGAAGAATAGGAAGAGGAAGAGGAGGAAAAGGAGGAGGAAGAGGAAGAAGAGGAGGAGGAAGAGGAAGAATAGGAAGAGGAAGAGGAGGAAAAGGAGGAGGAAGAGGAAGAAGAGGAGGAGAACAAAGGGGAGGAGGAAGATGAGAAGGATGAGGATGAGGATGAGGAGGAGGATGAGGAGGAGGAGGAGGAGGAGGAGGAGGAGGAGGAGGAGGAGAAGAAGAAAGAGGAGGCAGAAAATTATGAAAATAATGATAGTAGTAACATCAGCACAAAATATAAAGTGTATATTCAAACTTGACTACAACAGTATTTTGAACTCTTACATAAACATATCTTCATTCCTTAGCAGTTATTCTAGCCTACCTACAAATCATTACAAATGTCACCCATGTCCATAATAATTCTTATTCTTTCCAACATCCTTCTTACCTATCATCCATGCTTGTCATGTAATAGCCATGAAGAATCTTGTCTTTGATCCACGTTACAGCATGACGTGTTGCCGGTGGGACGTCTGGACTATTCAGGTGTTTCTTGTAAATCATTGCCAATCCACACATTGCCTCTTTTCTGATCTTGAACTGATATCAAAATATTCACTTAGCATCAAACATAAAATAAGAAGAATAACTATTTGCATTTTTTCTTTCTTTGATAAATTATAAATAGTATGCATGATATATAAGTGAAACAAAATTATCTAAAAGCAAGAGATAGTACGAATCACTACAAATGTGACCACATTTTCTTCAATGTAAAAATTGTCTCTATTACAGGCCCTGTTAATCTAATAATGTTTAATAATAATTACCTTTTTATCTAGTGTTCTCTCTTTAACAAAATTAAGAAGGTCTTCACTGTCAGAAACAATGCTAAAATCTTTCTTTGCAGTTGTAACAATGGCCATTACAACTTCATACCTGAAAAGGAAGAAACAGTATATAAATGAAATTTATATCATCTCCTTAGATTAGATCTAACTCCTGCATAAGACAGGTAAAGTAAAAGATTTAAGCTTAACACCATTTAACATCTGTACTAGGAAAACAGTTTCTTGGTTTTAACTGACATACTAAGTACATGTATACATAAAATTTCCATTGTGGTTTTGTTTTAAATATAAGTAGCTCCATAAGCACCAGAGTCACCAAAGAATCAATTACTAGGCCTACCTGACCTAAACTGTTTATCCCATTCCTTGATTTTTCAGGAATCAAAATATACTTTATCATAATATCATTGTTACAAGCACTATTATAATAATAATGATTATAACAATAATAATGATGATGTTAATTATAGTAATAATAATAAAAATATCAATAATAATGATAATAAAATAATAATAATAATGATGGTAACATATTCATCATCAACTATACAACTACAACTACTACTAATAATAATCATTCTTGTTGTTATTATCATCATAACTATTAATATTATTAATCATCATTTTTATGTATTATGATAATAGCAGTGTTAATGGAAATAATAATAGATCCCTACGCCCTAAACTTTAAGAAGCAAGGTTAACAGATGAGGTTGGGCAGGTGTAGTAAGCACCTGTACAGCTAGGGAGGTCTAGTAAGAACTTGTGCATCCACCAAGTGAAAAGAATTAACAAAACAAAACTATAGAAATATAGCAGACTGAGTTTGTGCCCAGCATCAGTGGGTTAAAATCTACTATCTTATCCATTCAAACAAGATTCTAAAAAACAAATGTGGAACACCTAGGAAGTCTTTGATATTCAGTATCCAATCAATCTTCCCCCCCTGCCCCTCCCCCCCCCAAAAAAAAACATTAAGAGCCTGAAAAACTTTCATCTTAAACACAAAAACATGCTCAACCTCACTACAACGTCCTCCATGAACCACTCACCTTACACTCTCTTCTGAGTCATGTTGTCTTAACTTTAATGTGTCTGTGATGTCTTTCCGTAGTAGTGGATGATTCAGTAAGAAGTGCATAGAATACTGTACACATTTTGTTCTTATTTTTATGCTAATATCATTAAATCTGTAAAAAAAAAAAAAAAAGAAGTAGGGCATGTTGATAAAAGTATGCAAATACATACATACAAGTCAATGGTTTCAGAAATGTATACTCTCATTATACTCTCAAGAAAGTAATTTCAATTTTGTTCATACCTTCCCAAGAAAGCTGTCCATAGTTGTTTATGGTTAAGTGCCAGTGTTGAGTCCTTCTCAGAAAACATGCGAGCCAACAAGGAGACAGATCCATACCGTTCCTCTTCATCAGAACTCTTCAGTTTAAACTCCAACTAAAATCATAAAAACAGAATTGAGCATCTATTTCAAGTCAACAGGACTATTACTTTACATAATAAATATTAAATTCCCATCTTTACTATATTTTTTTCTGTAGGAAATATTCTCACCTCTATACATTACTCATGACAATCAAAATATTATATATTCATCATAGGCTTAAGTACGAATGCCCCAAGTTCCTTGAAATAATAAAATCAAATATCTTATCTGCAATCAACATCAAATTCCAAAACCAAAAAGAAAAAAAAAAAGGAAATACATACCTGTGGCAAAACTGCTAGTAGCACTGATGGGCAAATGTGATTCAGTTCATAGATGAGATCATAAACTTTTTGAGAGATGGTCAAGGTCTTCTCTTCACGACCTAATATGAGCACATGGTTGAAGAACTGCAAAAGATTCACAACAATTAACAAATGATAATAACATGTGTGTAATACCATACAGAATCAGTACCATCAAGCTTCCAAATACCTATATATTACAAAAGAGATCTTGCTAAAATTCAAGATAGTGATGGATCTACTTACAGCTTGTATGTAGGGCTCAAGTGTGTCGGAGCATTTAACCACCAGGTCTTTGGCCAACTGGTAAGCATTCTTCCTTTGTGATTTAGCTGGCTCTAGGACATTTGATAAAATAATATCCAGCAAATCATTGGAGACAACGTCACTTTCATTGATAAGTGGACACAGGACGTCTAGCATAAAAGACTTAACTTTTCCACTGTGTTCATCACTGTCAAAAGAATTTTTAATAAGCATAAATAAAAAAATATTAATTCTTCTGTTGAAAAAAGAAACCATATTCAAGAATTCAAAATTCAATACCAAAAAATCATAAGACAAATTCACCATCCCCAATACTTACTTGACTATATTGAACATAAGTTTGAAAAGTTTGCAGAAGATTTCCTGGCAATCTTCCAGCTCAAAGCACATGTTGAATGATTTTACATATGCTAAGTTTTCAAGAAGGTAAAAGTAGCGCTTAAAGGCAGGGTCCTTTGGGTCTTTCAGTCCTCCCAGTTGCTTGATCAGGAACATGAAGAGGGTCTGACAAGATATTCTAAATTACTACTTTTTAATCACAAAAAAAAGAGAGAGAAAAGAAAACAGTCACCTTGGTTGACAAAATGGAAGGTTTTGGTTCACACACATGGGCAAAACTGCCAAGGTAACTAAATTCTACAAGTAAAAGTAAAGAGATACAAATCACATAACTTACCTTGTTACATGTTTATTTACCTCAGCTAATGTTTTATCAAGTATGAGTATTTTCTTTTGAATAAGACTATATATAAAAAAAGAAAAAAAAAAAAAATAGTATCTGCAAACACCAACACCCAAAAGAAAAAATATTATATACACAATCATATCTGACTACTTTTTAATCCATAAAAATGGCTCACCTTTACTTGACCAGGATCCTTATAGGGTGCTTCTGGTGCATACACCCTTAAAACGTCTGCAATACAGCATGCTATCAGCAGCTGTACATCACGACTTGGATATGACAAGAAGAAATCATCTGCAATATGCATAGCAAGTGGAACATACTCCTGCAAAAGAAAAGAAAAGAAAATATCTGTTTAATTGCAACCGCAAGATAAATAACTTCAGGTCAATCTCTAAATATTAACCCCTACGATCCAAACAACGTGGTCATCATGTCACAAAAATACTTGGTTTGAGGGGTGGGTGTTGTGAGAACATGCCACCATGGGAAAATTTGGCTATGGGATGCTGTGAAGCGAACTTACTACCACTAGCATTTCAGCTGAAGGCCAGAGTGATAGGAAAAACTCAGTGAGAAAAAAGTTCTTAGAGGGTGATTACATTTATTTGCCATTTAAAAAAGGGCTCTTGCATTATTTATATCAGGATGAGTGTGGAAAATACAATCTGCAAGCAATGACTGGAGAAGCTCCAGAGAAGAAGCTATTTCTATTCTCAGGATCTTATATTCCTGGGCACAGTGACCAGCAGCGCAGGATGTATTACCAAAAGTTATATATTACGTGGGAAAAAAAAGACACATATTACAAAATGTTACTTATTGTTATCATTACTGCACTGATTTATGGACTACCTAGAGAGATGTTATGAATAAGGAAAAGTCTATTACCATCTGGATAAAGCAAATGAAATGACAAATATGGACACTGGAAAATGGCAATAAATAAATAAATAAAGAAAGAAAGAAAACACTTGGGTAGAAAAAGAGAAAATAACATTGCAAAGGATTAGGCATGGATTCTTGTCACTGCATATAAGTGTTCACATGTGCCTGGCCTACAAGCTGCACACACGTCTGGCTGCTCAAGTATGTCTAACGCCCATATTTTGGGCCACATGATGGCTGTGAAGTATCCAGATCCAATGATCTTATAGGAAAAGTGTCACAGCTTACACCAGTAGTACATGTTTTTGTTTGAAGGTACAATTCAATGCTCTGAAACTACTGATCAGTGATTGGTGAACTAATGATTAAAAAAAATAAATAAATAAATAAAAGAATAAAAAAGAAAATAAAGCAAGCAACAAGACACACACACACACAAAAAATAGGTATCTAAAACTCAAAACAAACAGCCTAGTACACAAAAAAGTGAGCACTGAGGCACCAAATACCAACAACTTGCCACTAAAACCCAACTCCTTACCTGGTATGCTCCATCATCTTGACCCATAGACTGCAAGGTGTGGGCTAGCGTCTTCAAGCGCCTTATCATCTCATCTGGTCCAAGATCTTCTATGACTTCCCGGCACCCAGGAGGGTAAAGGATGGTCAGGTTGTCCCCACGACCCATCCTTACCACCTGTTCAAATAAGTACAATTAACATAAACTGTTATCAAACAAGAGAAAACGATAAACACATCATAACCCATAATTTTCTCTTTCTTTTTTTACATCATACATTTGGACTATAATTCATTTCTAAGGAATTAAATGAATGGACTAAAGGACAAGAAAGAAATGTTGAAACATTTGAGGATCTCAAATTATTTTCCAAAAAAGTAAATAAATAAAAAAATAAATAAATAAAATAAAATAAAAAAATAGGCCAATAAAATCCAGTCATACACTAATGAAGATAAAACATTCTATACATAGGTACAACCTACCCAAAAGATTTATACAACTCAAGAATAAATAGAAAAGTAATATTACTATTTTCTTAATGTATAATATACATACATACATATATATACATGTATATGTAACATTAATTTTATATATATTTATATATTTACATATATATATATATATATTTACATATATATATATATATATATTTACATATATATTTATATATATATATATATTTATATATGTATATATTTATATATATATATATTTATATATGTATATATTTATATATATATATATTATATATATATATATTTATATATGTATATATTTATATATATATATATATATATATATATATATATATATATATATATATATATATATATTTACATATATATATATATATATTTACATATATATGTATATATATTTACATATATATATATATATTTACATATATATATATATATTTACATATATATATATATATTTACATATATATATATATATTTACATATATATATATATATATATATATATATA